ATTTGCATGGTCACATGGGGCCTGTACTGTTGCTTTGATCTCAAGTCCATGTCTTTTTTGCTCTGCGGCATATAACATCATGATAGCAGAGTCGAGCATGTATTGGGCTTAGTTAATATATATTTGGACTAGCCTAGTTACACAGCGCTCTAGGAAGTGCTTGGTCGACTGCCTTCCCGGGATTATGGTACTGCAGTTTTATGGTCTTAAGAAACCCCTCTTGAACAATTTCCTCTTTAATATACTTATAATGTGATCTTGATCAAAGTCCAAACTATGAGCAAGGGTGGAGATACAGCCGTTCAAACTGCTCTGTACAGATTAAATAATAAACGTTATTATAATTAACTTTTGAGAATTTATGCTGATAATTAAGACGCTTTAGTAGCCTGAAAATGTAGTTTTAGCAAACCTCGTGCAATATACTTTTTCCAAGGCGATGTGGTAACCGTCTCTGCCAACATGTGAAAAGCTTTTTATATGGAATATTACCTAAAAACGCAGAATATAATTTTGATACAATGGTATGATTCTCAGTGCGATGAATATGTTTACCTTGTGAACAAAACTCACTGAGATTTGGCATAAGCGTAGAGGTTCAGTAGTCGTCTAAAATGACCACTCTTAACAAACATATCCGTTTTGCACGCGACCACCGAAAGATCCACCGATACCTGACGTGCTCGGCGATCGCACCTACCGTAATTTGCGACCCTAGTCTACGTGGCCCTGAGCGTCCTCCCTGGGTTCGACCCGCAATAGACTGTCGGCGATTGTGACAGATACTCCTGTTTTCGCAACCTTTTCGGTGGACTCTGCAATCAGCACGGAAATATCCGGCCGCACCTTCTGCCTTTCGGTGCTGATCTCCGTGACTTCAGCGATGCTCTTCCCGTTTGACCCTCCCCCACAAGAGTGACAGTTTTTTGTCTGAAAAATCTCAATGAATTGTTTTCACTGTCTGCTCTTTTTTCCTCTGCTCCACCTCATTGGCTGGCGACTTTTGCATCGTCAATAAGCTGAGGCCCTTCTTCGCTGATATCACAAGATGCATGTGCACAAACAGGGAGTTCAAAGGTGCAAACATACATTTCCCTCAAATAATATGAAGTGAACCCTACTCTGAAGTCGATTCGGCGTCTTGCTCAATCTTATTAGTGGGTATATGTTCGATTGCAGTCGAAAAAATAAGGACTGCTTGTTCTGGTGGTTTGACAGCAACAAAGGAGCTTGGCGCGAACACGAATTAATTTCCTATTTCTGCTGTACTGAAGTCCTAGGTGACTGGTGATGTCCAAGAAATCGCCAGGGGCGTTGCTGCCTCTTCACAGAAAATGCCAGTGGGGGACCTCCGAGAAAAATACGCCTATGGAAGAGTAGTGGACAGCAGTTGAGTAGACTACCTTTTTCTCGGACCACCTGGTATTGGTGCTCGCTCGTCCGGCCGAATGACCAACGGATTTCGAATTTGAACCTCGATTTTTTCGGCTTACGGCTTGCTGCAAACGGCTCTTGTAGTCTTTCATGTGTTCCGTTTACATTTTTTGTGATTGTTAACTACCCTCTGCTAAAAGGCCACCTATAAAGCTTGTTTCGGTGCCCCCAATTCGTCCTGAAATTAAGTCAGGTCTGTGAACCTCAAACCCACTTGCCGTTACGTATTCCTTCGTGCGCTATTGGCTCATTTAGATTTCAATGACCGATGGCGTTGTCTAGTGATGGACTGCATAACGCAAATAAACCAAAAATGGTCATTCCAGTCTCCATTGCCGTCTTTAACTTTCGAATTTATTGATTTCTTTTTGTTTATCACCTTCAGGATGCGAAATCCCCAGATTCTGCCATGCGACCACAGCTTCTGTAAGAACCCCTGCCTCTTGAAGTATCCAAATTCGACCTGGGCCAGCTGTATTTACTGTCTCATTGAGGTTCCCGCCTCTCAACTGCAGCCTAACTACAAGCTGGCGGCGCGGATTCGCGAGGTTCAGCGGGCCAGAACACGATTTGAGTTTTGTCCCCTTTGTAATAAAGCCGTTGAGCAGCGAATTCAATGTGAGCACTGTATGCTTCAGGTCTGCTTCACATGTCGCAATCAGCACATGAAAGTTGTGAGTTTCACCATTTTCTATTAAGTCGTTTTTTTCTTTATTTTATTTTCATCAAAAAACCAAAACACTCACATTGGATCGGCAGTCTTTAAGCCCTCCCTAAAGTGCATGTCTCAAGGGTTTTCTTCAAGATATTTTAAGAAGTCGAGCGTAATACACAGTCAGTTGTTGCTGGGGTTATTACCTTCCCTGTTGCTGTAGCGATTCCCTGCCTTGTTATCAAACCATTGTCTTTAAAAGCGTTCGCTGATTCCGAAAGAGACCGTTAAGAGCAGTCGAAGTATCTGGTCGGATTTTCGATACCAACATTTACAGGAATTTGGTAGATGTCGAAACATTGTTGAATATTCATCTCCAGTAAGCCATTTCCAAAGATAGCATAGAAATGGAAGCAGATCACCCTTGGAGGGGAGGGCATTAATTAAGTTTCACCTTTGACGCTTTGGCCGATTATTGATTGAGTGCCGAATCTCCCAGACACATTGCAGCCGTCTAAACTAGAGAATTCTGATGCTTAATCCTGTTTTAGGAGAAGTAATAAGTGCTCTGCTATTGACAAAGTCCTTTTCTCAAGGTCCTCTTACCAGGACGACATCTTTCTCGTCACAAAGCAGTGTTTCCCGAGGTTTCTATTTCATCCCTAAAAAAGATGCTTTTTGCGGTTGCAAAACGGAATAAATCTTCTGAGCACGGAAGAAGTTTGATTCGACCTTCGGCAATACTGACTGATCAATCATACATGCAACAGGGATAGA